GAGAGAGAGAGAGAGAGAGAGAGAGAGAGAGAGAGAGAGAGAGAGAGAGAGAGAGAGAGAGAGAAAGAGAGAGAGAGAGACGTCAGACACTGTGTTACATGCAGCGCGTGCACACACGGGTCATTTTGCAGGCCCACGGCCATTTTGCAGGCCTGCGTCCATTGAGGCTAAAAGCCTGAACTTCAGGCCGAAAGCCTGAAATCCAGGGCTTACAGGCCCCCTGTCGGCTCAGCCCGAAAGCCTGAAGTTCAGGGCCTATCCCTGGTCGTTTCAGACTAAAAATGGCAACAGCCTTTTTAGCCTGAAACGAAGGGCCATTTTCGGTCGTTCATCACAACGACCGGCCCTGAAACTCAGGCACCGAAACAGGGTTTCGGGAACAGACTATTAATAGTCTGTTTCCCACGCCAGCCCCTGGCACATTTCGTCATTGGCAAGAGCTGCCTCCTCGGCCCGACTGGCCTCCAGTAGTCAGGAGGCAGGCCGAGGTAGTACATAGGACTTCCCAGGCACTTCCGGGTAGGCAGTCGGTCAGTTATAGTCTTCAGGATTCGGGAGCAGCACTCTGGAGGGAGCGCTGCGTAGTAGTAGTTGTAGCGTTAGCTAGTAGTCTTCAGCGCTGGGCGCAGCAGGTAGCTGTAGTCTCCAGCGTTGGGCGCCATAGCTAGGTAGCACTGGAGAGAGAGAGAGAGCTTGGGCGGAGGCCAGAGGTACCTACCTGCAGCGCCGTTGCTCCAGCTTCGCCTTCGAGGTACCTGCAGCACAGCGCCAACATCACAGGCTAGTATCTGGTTCGTAACAAAGAGAGAGAGAGTTCCTCTTCTTCTTCTTCTCAGTCCATCATCTCTTCTCTCCCTCTCACTTCTGACTTCACTGCATCTGCAGACTATGAGAGAAGAGATACAGAGCTTGGTGACATTTGATCCAGACTCGACTTTCGGGGGTTCAGACATGGCAACGAGGGACTATTTCGGATTGGTGACCAAGACTTGGTGTTAACGACATCCCATCTTCCTCCCTCCTTTCGCCTGATCCTTATCTCTTCGTCTGTGTATGTCTGGACCTGGCGCTTTCTTCCTGTGTGCAGGGCCAGGCTCCTTCACATTCGGTGATGGATACAATGCATGTTTAGTCTGAGTTCAAACATTGATTGGGCTAGTTAGTAGCACTCTAGCATTTTGCTTCGTTACTCTGAACTACGTAAATGAGGTCAGTCATGTCAGGTCAGTCTTTGTATCAAAGTCTTCCCTGCGCTCTTCAGCATCTTTATGTATGAATGAGAATGTACATTGCTTGTCGAGAGTTTACTCGTACCGCATTGTCTATTCAGTCCTTTTTCATCACATTGCAGACTCTCGGTTGATTACGTACATTGCATATTTGTGCATGTAACAGTTCGTATCGGAGCTTTTGCATGTGAATCAGGACAACCTGATCTGACACGTGTGCGGGGACTAAAAAGCTGGTTAGTCTTTTCGGTTTGATTAGGATATACTAGTTAGACCCCAAAATCACGATCTTGACCTTACTACAAAAAAAAAAATTGAATTTCTTTTTCTTTTCTCGCTATTAAGTGGTGGAAAATCGTAATAACGCAACGTCTGAAATTCCCATTTTCGTTTTGTTTCTGAAAATTCGAAATTTCGTTGTTGAAAATCCGGAATATATTTCTTTTTGAAAGTTTCTATTTCCTGTTGCATTTCCCATTACTTAGAACTTCGAAATATCTTCTTTTCTGAAATTCGTTTTTCTAAAAACCGTACGGGAAATCCCTCCTGCTGCCCTGCCCTGCACGTATTATTTTCAAACTGCAAATATTCCCATCGGAATAAATCCGAATATTTGTCATTTCTGTTCGGATAATTTTTTTTTCGCAGTTCTTAGATTCTGTCAGTGGGTCTATAAATCGGTTACAGTCCAAAGTCGAAAATTTTTGCTTTCAGTGATCATTTCAAACTTCAAGGGAGGTTGGGAGACCTACTGAACTTGCAAAAAATCGAAATTTTTTTTTTCTTGAAATTTTTTTTGCAAAGTTCAAACTTTTCTACTTTGATTAGTGGCTCCTTATCTAAGTGTGAGTTGGGCGATTATCCCACCCMCCCCTCCCCACCCATGTTGTTGCCATCTCTTGCCTTATCTGCTCTGTTTGTCTCCGGGTACCCCTTGCGGCGGCATTGGTAAGTTGCCACGTCAGCAGACCACGTCAGCAGGCTACGTCAGTACGTCAGCAGGCCACGTCAGCAGGCTACGTCAGCAGGACACGTCAGCATTGCCATGTCAGCAGCAAGGGATACCACATCAGCAGGCACCGGTCTGGTCTATGTTGTTGTGTTCACAGACAGCAGTCATGGACCAGAAGGTCGGGGAAACAGACGAGGCCTATCAGGCCCGCATCTTAGCCTGGAGTACCGAGACAAAGAAGCGGGCAGATGACGCTGCCGCAGCAGCAAAGAAAAGGGCAGAGGATGCCGAGCAGGCACGTCTACTGGCGGTTGAACAACAGCGCCAGCATGACGAGGCATCAGCAAGGGCTGCCGATGAAGAAAGAACACAGCGTCGTGAGAAGATACTCACCGGAGAGCGGGCGTTAGTTACCATGGCAGCAGAATGGCGAAGCGAGGCCGAGAATAGCCAATTAGAGGATAGCGCAAACAAGATAGCGCTCCTCCTCTCGCATCTCACGGATCTCCTGGCAACCTGCATTACACAGCAGGCGGAGATCCTTGGTCTCGACAACTCGGTAGCTCATCTCCAAGACCGCCTCCAGCGGTTGGAGCAGCGACCAGTCGCCGCCGCCGGCACAGGCTCTTCCAATACTGTCGACCGCCTCACCTCATTGGAGATGCACGTCGGCTCCCTCCAGGACGGCGCACAGTTACAGCAGACCGCGACGCAACAGTTGCAGCAGCGGATCTGCACTACCGCCACCACCTCGAGTCCGGAGCCGCACGAGACAGCTCCTAAGTTCGATGGGCAGGAGATCTTGTGCGACTCAATCAAGACGGATCCAATTCCATGGTTTCGCAAGTTCGAGCTCACGCTGCAGCTCCACAACGTCAAGGAATACAAGCATCACGCATACTTGTACTCTCGCTCAGGGGGCGCGTTGGACAACCTGTTGTCCAAGTACGGAGTGGTAGCTAACGACTTGCACACCAAGATCACCTGGGATGATCTGAAGGCGGCGTGGCACAAGCGGTTCCAGGTGGAGCCGCCAGAGATCAAAGTCATGGGCAAGCTCATGGTCTTCGAGCAAGGCACGCTGCCGAGTACGGACTGGATCGTCGAGTACCAACGCTTGACGTCAGTCCCAGACATCGAGATGGGCTTCAAGGCCATCCAAACAGCCATTTCGTCAAAACGGACATATTATATTTTTTGAACGAAATCAAAACTGATTTTTTTTGCCAAAATCCGATCGGAATTTTTTGCTCTTGGGGGTCCGGCGTTCCTAAAACACCGGACCCCCCTGGTCTATGGTTGAGACCAGATTTTAAAAAAAAAATAATAATAATAATAATAATAAAAAAAAAAAATTGTATCTGGTCTCAACCATAGACCAGGCGGGTCCGGCGTTCCCAAAACGCCGGACCCCCAGGATCAAAAAATTCCGACCGGATTTTGGCAAAAAAAGTCAGTTTTGATTTCGTTCAAAAAATATAATATGTCTGTTTTGACGAAATGGCTGTTTCCACCACTACTTCATCTCAAGGTCATGTCCGGCATTGAGCAATGCCCTGACGCATGTCGAGGACACCTTGACGACGACGACAAAATTATTTGACAAGGTTGCGCAGATCATCATCACGAACAAGGAGGCCAAGAACCTCCGTTCATCTGCGTCAGGCCCGAGCAGGGACCAGCATCGGCCAAGAGTGGTCGTGGTGGCTGCGCAGCGCCGTTAGACCAAACCATCGAGGCTGCGTCTGCCAGTGAAGGAGACAGATTCGCAGCCGCCCGGGAAGGTGGCCGCACCGACAGAGGCCGAGGGCGCGGCAAGACGAAGACACACACTATTTCTAGCCCCGGGCCCGGTGCAGCAGCTCGGACAGGCCCATGGACCCCGTATGGCATCTCCGAGTCCGCATACAAGGCGCTCGAGAGATTCCACTATTGCCTTTGGTGCAACAACGATCTTCATCAGACGCAGGTTTGCCCATTGAAAGGCAAGGGAAGACAGGGAAACCGAGCACCGTCAAGAGTGGCGCGACGACACTCTCGACGCCTTCGGAATTGGTTTCTTCGCGAGTGACCAACCTTCATTCCGAGGCGCACGCGGAAGTCGACAGTCCTCCACTTCTACTTTCTTTTGAGGACTACGCTGTCCGGCTCGTTCCAACGCTGGGTACTCAAGCTCAAGGACAAGGAATGTGTCCGGTTTCTTCTCCGTCCGGCAACAGCGACAGATCGTCTTCAAGTGGTTCGTCACGGGATTCGGCACGCGAGTTCAATGTAGAGGCATTGGACCTGCTCACGTCTGAGGACTTTGCATGGCTTCCTCTCCCGACCACAGGCTGTTTGCCGGAACCGCAATGCACAGCACTTAGCGCTCATCTCCACACTTACCTTTCCTTCTATGCACCACCAACTTCGCCGACGGATGACGAAGTCGAGGTGGGGGACATCCTACCATATATTACCAAGGTGGCCTGCGAGTTTCGCACGCAGCGGTACGATAACAACAATGCACCGCTCATGTATGTCCGCATCCAGGTTGGGCAAGCGTCCTGCAGCTCTTTGCTGGATAGCGGCTCGACTCGCAACTTCATGAGCCAATCTTTTATGCAAAGGGCTGGCCTTGGTGCACAAGTTCGAAGGAAGGCAAACCCGACGGCGATCAAGTTGGCGGATGGAAAGACGCAGCAACTACTCGACCGTTACATCGAGGCCGTACCGGTCTACTTCGCACCTCATGCATGCAAACCGGTGACATTCAATATTCTCGACACGGACTTCGACATCATTCTGGGAATGCCTTGGCATGCAAGTGCGGATCACACGGTCAACTTCCATAGGCGGAATCTTAGCGTTCGCGACGTTCGTGCTGGTCTACTTAGACGATATTCTCCTCTATAGTCGGACATTGGAGGATCATCTTGGACATCTTCGACGAGTATTGGAGACGCTCCGCCGTGCCAAGTACAAGGCCAACCGCGATAAGTGCGAATTTGTCCGGCAAGAGCTGGAATACTTGGGCCATTTTGTTACACCGGAGGGCATCAGTCCGCTATCAAACAAGATTCAGGTCGTCCAGGAGTGGCCGGAGCCTCGGAACGTCACAGATGTCCGCTCGTTCCTCAGTCTTACCGACTACTATCAGCGCTTCATCAAAGGTTACTCCAAGATCGCGGCCCACTTGAACAAGCTTCAGTGCAAGGATCAACCGTTTGACTTCGGAGAGGAGGAGCGAGGATCATTCTTCGCTCTCAAAGTCGCGCTGTTGTCTGCGGAGGTCTTGCGGATATACGACCCACTCGCGCCTACACGTGTCACTACGGATGTGTCAGGCTATGGCATTGGTGCAGTCCTCGAGCAACATGATGGTGTGGATTGGCACCCGGTCGAATACTTCAGCAAGAAAGTGCCTCTTGTGCATTCCATTGACGATGCACGCAAAAAGGAGCTCCTCGCCTTCGTCCACGCGCTCAAGCGGTGGCGGCACTTCCTCCTTGGTCAAAGACAGTTTCGATGGGTATCGGACAACAATCTGTTGGTCTTCTACAAGACCCAAGACACCGTCAACAGCACCATCGCTCGATGGATGGCTTTCATCGACCAGTTCGACTTCTTTCCCGATCACATTCCCGGGAAGTCGAAACGTTTTGCGGATGCTCTCTCACGGCGTACGGATCATTGTACCGCAGTCTACTCGACCTTCGAGATTGACGACGACCTGCGGAACAACTTCATCCGCGGTTACCAAGTCGACCCCGAGTTTCGCGACAAGTACGCGAATTGCTCCTCTCCTAATCCGACTCCTTCTCACTACCGGATCCAAGAGGGGTACTTGCTTGTCCACATGCGGGGGAAGGACCTTCTTTGCGTACCTAGTGATCCGCACTTGCATACTCGGCTTCTTGGTGAGTTTCACGATGCTCCCTCTACCGGACATTTTGGAATCAATCGCACGATTGGTCGACTTCGCCAGCGATTTTGGTGGCCCGGCCTTCTCAGCGACGTCACGCGCTATTGCGAGTCATGCAAGGTTTGTCGATGCTGCAAATCCCGCAACCATCGTCCGTACGACGAGTTATGACCATTGCCAGTCCTGTTGAGTCGAAGGAAAGCGATTGTCATGGACATCACCGGCCCGTTCCCCAAGCACAAGACCGGAGTGGATGGGATTCTCACGGTGGTCGACCGACTCACCAAGTTGGCCATGTTTTTGCCTTGTTGCTATCATGCCAAGGCACCGGAGTTGGTCGAGGTTCTGTATGCTGGTTGGATTCGCACCAAGGGTTACCCCAAGGAGATCGTCTGCGACTGCCACACTCGGTTCATGTCCGATTTTTGGTTGGCGCTCATCAAGCGATGGGGCTCATCTCACAAGCCCAGTTCAGCTCGCCACCCTCAGAACGATGGCCAGACGGAGAGGGCGCATCAGACCACACAGGTTCTCCTTCGCACTCTCATCCGCCCCGACCAGAAAGACTGGGTTGAGCGACTGTCGGACGTTGAGTTGGCCTACAACTCTTCCATCCACCCGGCTATTGGGATATCGCCCTTCGAGTTCGAGCACGGCTCGCCGGTCATGTCACCGTTGGACACGATTACTGCACGCACGGCCGAGAGCGACGACCATCTTCTCTTCTTGCGTCGGATGCAAGAGCTTCTTGTCAAGGCACGTGACCAGATGGCTAAGACGCAGCAGCGCATGAGACATCAGGCAAATCGCTAGCGTCTTCCTTGCCCATTCCGCGCCGGGGACCTCGTCTGGGTTTCAGCAGCGGAATTCAGCCTTGAACAAGACATCTCTCGCAAGCTCCTTCTCAAATGGATGGGGCCTTGACCGATCATTGAGCCCGCTGGGGACGCACCTGAAGGACCTTCCTTCACAATCCAGGTGCCTATCCACTTGCCCGTCTACCTAGTCTTCCACTGTTCCAAATTGGCTCTGTACACGCCAGTGGAACATGACGATTTTCCCGGGAGACGTACGCAAGACCCACCTTCTATGGATGGTTTTCAGGAGGTCGGCGACATCATCTCCCAGCGACGCTACGGCAACAAGCCAACTGAGTATTTGGTGCATTTTGCCTACTGCACACATCGAGCTGGCCGTTGGTTAACCATGCGGAACTGCAAGCGACAGGTCCAGACGTTCTCGCACGCTACGAACGCAAGATGCAAGGAAAGCCGGTTTCTTCGGCTCCACGCCGCGCCCGCGTCCAGGTTCCACCTTCAGATCGACGGCTTCGCCCTCGCCCCGGCTTGACTTCATAAGGAGGGGGGGGTGTTACCTGCAGCGCGTGCACACACAGGCCATTTTGCAGGCCCGACGACCATTTTGCAGGCCTGCGTCCAATCAGGCTAAAAGCCTGAACTTCAGGCCGAAAGCCTGTAATCCAGGGCTTATAGGCCCCCTGTCGGCTCAGCCCGAAAGCCTGAAGTTCAGGGCCTATCCCTCGTCGTTTCAGACTAAAAATGGCAACAGCCTTTTTAGCCTGAAACGAAGGGTTATTTTCGGTCATTCATCAGAACGACCGGCCCTGAAACTCAGGCACCGAACCAGGGTTTCGGGAACAGACTATTAATAGTTTGTTTCCCATGCCAGCCTCAAGCAGGCTGCTGCACGCCAGCCCCTGGCACATTTCGGCATTGGCAAGAGCTGCCTCCTCGGCCTGACTGGCCTCCAGTAGTCAGGAGGCAGGCCGAGGTAGTACATAGGACTTCCCAGGCACTTCCGGGGTAGGCAGTCGGTCAGTTGTAGTCTTCAGGATTCGGGAACAGCACTCTGGAGGGAGCGCTGCGTAGTAGTAGTTGTAGCGTTAGCTAGTAGTCTTCAGCGCTGGGCGCAGCAGGTGGTTGTAGTCTCCAGCGCTGGGCGGCATAGCTAGGTAGCACTAGAGAGAGAGAGAGAGCTTGGGCGGAGGCCAGAGGTACCTACCTGCAGCGCCGTTGCTCCAGCTTCGTCTTCGAGGTACCTGCAGCACAGCGCCAACAYCACAGGTTAGTATCTGGTTCGTAACAAAGAGAGAGAGAGAGARTTCYTCTTCTTCTTCTTCTCAGTCCACCATCTCTTCTCTCCCTCTCACTTCTGACTTCACTGCATCTGCAGACTATGAGAGAAGAGATACAGAGCTTGGTGACATTTGACCCAGACTCGACTTTCGGGGGTTCAGACATAGCAACGAGGGACTATTTGGGATTGGTGACCAAGACTTGGTGTTAACGACATCCCATCTTCCTCCCTCCTTTCGCCTGATCCTTATCTCTTCTTCTGTGTATGTCTGGACCTGGCGCTTTCTTCTTGTGTGCAGCGCCAGGCTCCTTCACACTTGGTGATGGATACAATGCATGTTTAGTCTGAGTTCAAACATTGATTGGGCTAGTTAGTAGCACTCTAGCATTTTGCTTCGTTACTCTGAACTACGTGAATGAGGTCAGTCCTGTCACGTCAGTCTTTGCATCAAAGTTTTCCCTGCGCTCTTCAGCATCTTTATGTATGAATGAGAATGTACATTGCTTGTCGAGAGTCTACTCGTACCGAATTGTCTATTCAGTCATTTTCATCACATTGCACTCTCGGTTTATTACGTACATTGCATATTTGTGCATGTAACACACTGGTTGACGCCCTCTCTCTCTCTCTCTCTCTCTCTCTCTCTCTCTCTCTCTCTCTCTCTCTCTCCCCTCTCTCTCTCTCTCTCTCTCTCTCTCTCTTTTTCTCTCTCTCTCTCGCACTTGAATGGATCTTTCTCTTTATCTAGGAAGATTTAT